AAGATAGGTGCTCTGCACTTGGCTGGAAAGGCTGACAAAGAACTGTTGTCCCTATATATAAAAGGGAAGGAGATTATAGCTGCTTTCTAGAATGTATGATTGTTACCAGTTTACAAATTACTTACCTTTTTCTTCCTTCTTTTTAGGAGCAAATCATGGCTTTTGCCAGCAAGTGATCTGCTGTCAGTTTGGAACAGCAGCTTGCCAGTGAACGCATTGCCTTTGTAAGGACTATGACTGACTTGAACCTTTGAACTGTGTTATTTTAATTTAACAATAAAACTGAAGGATTGAGCTGTGCATTACATAATCCACTGGTTTATGCAAAAGTTCTGTCTCATCTGTTCTCCTCAAGAGGATTTAAGGTCTCTTCCTCTAGTACCATGATATCTTCAGCCACGGAACTATCTGTACAATGTGCTTTTAATTCGGACATTGAGAATTGAAGACTGAGGTGGAACAGCTGTCTGTCTTTTGGCAAACGCAGTGCTGAATTTTGCCAGCTACAACTTTTGCTGCTTAATTACTTTCATTTTTTCTTGATGGGATTTCTACAGCTCTAAGGTCACTCCTGGGTTCTTAGCACTTCCCTGACTCAGAAAGGAGGGTAGTTTTCAGCAGAGAAGAGTCAACTCGTGACGGCAGATATGTTTTAAAGCTCTCATCTCTCTCTCTCCCCTTTTCCCCTGCCTTTCTCTTGGTGCTTTATTTAATAATGTTTTGTTTTTTTCTTGTGGAACTGGCTAGCCTTAAGGGCTCCATGAAAAAGAGATGCAAGAAAACAATAATATCTAGGAAAGAAAACTGTACCACAATGTCTTGAATATTGTTAAAAATGCTTTAATTACCAAAATAGACATTCAAGATATTCTGTCTTAGTTCCAAATGCCAGCCTCCTGCATTAGACATTTGACACTCAGAACATTAAGTGAGCGCTGCCCATGGCCAAGATTTACACATATGGTTAACCAGGATCGGGAATTCACATCAGAAAGAATGAAATGCAAGTTCTGAACGGAAAGCCACTACTTGTGCTTCTTCAGTCACTCGTATTGTGCAGTTCCTGTTAGTGACTGGCTAAAAGACATTATGAAGGAGGAGGTAAAAATCAGGGCTGCAAGTGGAACTCTTCTCTTAAAAGGATGCTTTGCCTTTAGTTAAGCTACTAAGTAATCTCATTGCACTAGGGTAAGCGTGAGGACTTGACTGGCTTCTCTAGATCCCCCACCCACCTGGACTAGTTTGGATGTAAACAGCAGGGGCTTAATTCTGCAATTTCTTGCAAAAGAAACCTTTGAGCTGCATTTTCGTTTCTCTCATGGCTGCAGGATCAGGCCCCTGATAGAGCCCAGCAGTTTTGCTTCAGTTAATGAATTGTGCCACTGACAAACGAAGGCTCTGAGCACTCAGATTTAATGCAACTTTGGTACCAGAAAGCAGATACTCCCACCTAGCATTTGTAGTACCAGAGTCTGAGGCACACAACAGAGAAAAGAAACTTCTGCGTAGTACCTGTGTTGTTCTAGACCATCCTTCCTTCCGACAAAACCAAACTCCTCAGGGCTAGCATCTATTCAGTTGGCAGATATACTGCTGCTGCTTGTTCTTTACATATAACATCCCACCTTCCCTTGCCGTTTCAAATGCAGCCTCACTGCTTATGGCTCTTAGCCCCAAGATCTGGTAAGAGTTTGTCTTAGCACTGGCTCAGACTGCAAAAAAGATTTTTGGATTATTAAATTAGCTAGTTCTCAGGAGTAACGCAGCCTGGTTAGTAACCACTGCATCCTCCTTTGCGTTCTCTGAGAATACAAAAGTGAATACAATTGTCCACTGAAGACAAAAATTAATGCGTTTGCAGTCACCTTGTGCAGACCAGACCACATGCTAAGTTTTGCCAGACACTAGGAAGGGGAATAAGAAATGTCTGTAGCTGGGAAGAGGCCGCAACTACTTCCTTCATGTTCAAATGGAAGCTCCTAGTGAGGAAGGAACAGAAGTTTGTTGTGACACTGAGGAACTTCCCAACATGGATCTCAAAAGAGATTAGGGTAAAGAGGAGTACAGGTAGGACGAGCATTTCATATTTCAGAGAAACAGCCTGAATTTACAGCAAGGTCAGTGGTGGGACAAGTATGGTTAGCTCCATCCCCAACCCTTGGACTCCTGTTGCTGACTGAACTTGTTCAATCAAAAGCACACCTGCACCCTGGCGCTGTAAAACCTGAGATATGAGAAGGCGATAGCTTAAATCAGCCACAGTCAAACTTGTGCTGCTAACTAGAGGAAGTGGACTGATGTTCATGGTAAGGCAAATTTCTAAGTGTCCAGACTGCTTGGCAAGATTAGCGAGGGCATGAGTGCGCTACTTCCTCCCCTTGCCGGGAATTACCAATAATTTTCAAACCCAGTTTGCACAGAAGGTTGTGTGAAGGCAGACTTTGCTTCTACAGAAGTGGGAAAGGTGTGTTATAGCAAATAGGGAAGTGCAAATGCCTGACAGGAAAGCATTTACCACAAGAGATCAATGGATAAAGGCTTCCCTTAGTCACATGAATAATATCTCTAAGTTCTTATGACTGGGGTAAATTCATCTTTATGTTATGCATTCCATGTAGAATATACTAACTTTTTGCTAAATAGGAGCAAACAGATGAGCTAGCTGCCAACTATTTCATGGGTGGAAAAAATTATCTCTACAGCTGTTTCTATTTAGGGCAATGCAACATCCACACCTGGAGCATCAAGGTATTCAAGCAATCTTGATGTTCTCTGCAGCCAATTAAACAAGAAAACCAGGATCCTACAGCCCAGCTTTCTAGCCTATCTGACAAGATGCTTTATTTAAAATATTGATCTTTCATTGCTTCTATGTGTTTGGTGTGAAAGAGATGGCAAGACCCACTTTCAGTTGTTACTCAAATAGCTTCGTGCTATCCTGACAGAAGTCTTAGGCTTCCTAAACAGCTGCAACCCCTTCATTGGCTGCACCATTCCTAAAGCCCTGCTGTATATAATAAAAATATTCCAGAGCAATGCAAGGCTGCATACACCATTTTATGGGTCTAACTCCACTATACTGAATTAAATGAAGTTTAAAACAATTTAAAATGGACAAGGGATAAGCAAACAAGGGATAAGAAAGTAAAGCTACTTCTGCTCTTGTTCTCCTGCTCTTTCTGACACTAATTCCGCTCTCCCTATTTTCATCTATTAAACAACTGAAAAAACAACTTCTTTCACGACAGCTCTGCATTCAGAGGAGGTTCCTAAGGAGAGCGCAAGAAGTGAAAAGCCCAAACTTTCAGATGGGAAACCACACCTCTGAGCTCACTCCCAACAAAAGGGGCTGCGGTGTTCTATCTGGTCACCGGCCCAGCAGGTCTCTCAGGCTGTGCAATGCTTATTTCCCTCGTGCTAGCACTAGACTTGACTTTTTGGTGAGCTGATTTAATTCAAGTTTGGTGTTGTGAATCAGTTCACCACAGAACCTGAGGAGCACCAGCATCGGAGAAAAGAAGGCTGCAGGAGTGCCTTGCTGAGCACAGAGAAACAGAACTGCCTCTCACGGCAAAGTGAGCTATCGGATCAGCCATTTCATCTGACTGCACCCTTAATGTCCTTGTGGGTGTAGTGTGACAAACACTTATTTGGCAGCTGAGCTGAAATAGCTGGCACCGTTGTCTAGTTGTGCCAGCGCAACAATCTGTTACGACTACATGCTAAATGAATCAAGTTATCAGTCTGCAGCCAGATGTATGGTATAGCTGCGCAGACTTGTAGAGGGCAGAAAAACACACACAGTCAGGCACATGTTCTGCTTAGGAAACGACTGCTGCCTAGAGAAATGCTGGGTAAGTTACAACCTACGTTTTAGCCAACACCTTTCCCAAAACCATGCCCAAAGTGTGTTTATAGCAGGCCCTTTCTTGAAAGACTGGAGTCTTTGCACTGTATTAGCTAAGCCAACAGCCGGGTACTTGGAACACTGAGGCTGGCACCATCCAGAGTCGTTCATTTTTCTCTGACTGTTGATGCCATCTTTAATTTCTCTATTTAACATCTCACAAGTAAACTTAAGTTACGTATGTTTAAAATAAAAGGAGGAGGGGAAATCACGTGTCTGTAGTCTATCACCACTTGCCAGATACTCTGTGCTTCTGGCACTGGGATGCTATACAAACGTGCTGGTGAAAGCTGGCTTTGAGCCCCTTGTGGACACTCTGCTGGAGTTTAGGCCTTTTGACTTTCAGAAGGCAGCTTCTGGATCATTTATGGCAATCACAATTATAAATCATACTGTGGCAACTCTCATTATGCACGATGCCAATCCTGGGTGAAGATCTGTTCGTAGCTTTGGTCCATGTTTTGCTCTGTGACCAACTCCAGCTGAACAACATACCTGGAGATATCAATTTGCTTTCTCAGCCTTTCAGAAATGCTGGAGTCCACAGGAATGTCACAGCTCAATAGGTTATCCCCAGAGACTGCAGAAGGTGAAAAGTAGCACCCAAAGTCCAGCTTGTCTCTATGTTGTTCACTTTCTTTGTTAACTATAAAGGAAGCAAAAGAAATTGTTCCCAACAGTTCTCTAGATTCATATGTTGCACAGATGACACCAACTATTTGTAATGACCCTTGACAGACTCAGTAGATGATTGGCCAGAAAAATTAAGTAGCGCCTGTTGATTGATAAGAGAAATTTGGAAGCTGGCTTTGAGATTTCACTGTTTTTCTCACCTGTAAGAGTGTGTTGTCCCTAAATCCAAAACCTTCCTTTAGTAAAGCAGCGATGTAAGTGAGATCCATGCAGAGGAAAGGGCTGGCTGAGTTGTACCTCTCCATGTTATCACAGACTAGAGAAGGAAGGAAGAAAGGGATCTCAGCAAAATAAAGGAGCTTTTATCTACATTATATATTTGAACTGACCTCAAGCCAAAGCCTACTAAAGCAAGTCACCCCCTCCTGTTAATGGGTATGCACAAAACATGGTATGTGCTATATGGTTCTATAATGTTGAAGAATAAACCATATAGTACATCCAGTTTCTTTTAACTCCATCATAAGTACCTCTTTTATTACAGCAACATAATCCACGTAACTTTTGAAGTCTGAATCTCTGTGCAACGCGTAACTGGTAGGGAGCTGGTTATTACTTAGTCTTTCAAGAACACTGCATCATTTGTCTTCCTTGTCTAGTCTCCAAGGACAGCTCCAGGAATGGACTCCACCTTCTAGGTTGGTAGCTGCTTTTATTTTTTTTCCAACCACACATGTCCAAGGACATGGAAGAGGCTATTGCCCAACTAACCACTCCCTCACTGCAGCTAAATCAAGATTCCACAGTAAGGGTGACAGTGATTGGGAAATGGATGTACACTAAGTGTTGTCTTCTGGGCCTACTGTTACTGCCCTGTTCTACAAGCATCAAGAGCAACATTCACTTCTCTTTAGAAACTGATAAGCAGCATTATCCTACTATTGAAATGAGAAAGAGGAGCATTAATTTAGGATCACAGAACTGAAATGGTTTGATGGTGTTAGATAACATCTTAGCTGCATCTTTGGAAATAAGCTCTCAGTATCCAGGGAAACATAACAAAACAAACACACTCAGACTTTAGAGCCTAATCCTCCTATTCAAAACCATCTGAGTTTCCAGGGAGATTAAGTTTAACTGAAAACTCATTAGAATTTAGGTCCTATTTTAGAAAAAAGTCAGTCCTGAACTACATAATTAACCATCTTCTGGTGACAAATAACAGCCTGCTAATCATCGCAAGGATGATCGCAATTCAGAGGTTATGTCTTGCTCCACAAGATCAAGTTTCAGCCATCAGTAGCAGGGCAAGGTGGGAGCTCTTTTTTTCATAGGAGGAAGTAAAAAACCAGAAAAAGCACCTCAGAAAAAAGTCCCAGGGAGGGAAAGGAATGTAGAAGAGGCTGTCAGACTTAAACAACCTCTGCTCTCTCCCTCTGTTTTGTTAGAGATTAAAAAGGATTTAAGGTGACAGACTTACATAAGTCAGCACTCCTAAACTCAGAGAGTTGCGAGTTGACAGAAGGAGCTCTTGAAACAGCAAAATCACTTTCTTTTGTACTGACATTTATGAACCATCTCCCTCCTCTCCTGAACACAACTGCAAAGCTAACGCTTTGCTTCCCCTCCCCACTCTCCAGTACTTTCTTCTGCAATAGTTACACGTGTTGGCCAATAAAAGCTAGGTAGCACGACACGGAAGGTGCAAGTGGAATAAAGGTTTAACAAATTTCTTTTTAAAGTCAAACACACGTTATGTACTGCTTATAGACATTCATATTTTTGTTATTTCTCATTCCCACCATTTTCCCAACTCTCACGACTATTACCTTCTTTGGCTTTTCTTTCAAAATCTTTCACTTCCAGAACACCTCCTTCTTCATAATCTGAAAAGGAACAGGTGAGAAAACATCATGACAGACCTGAAAGCATTTATGTTCTGTATCTAAGTTGACCCTAGAGTGCAACTCAGTGATGCTGGGCTAGGAGTGAAATCTGTTGGTAACAGAAGACAGAGCTGCAGGTATAACTGCAGCTCAGAGCACAAGTCTCATCTGCTGAACTCTGAACATTAAACTGCCCTGATGATACATCTTCATTCTCTGAAGGCATTTTCAGTATTTCCTCTTTCTCAATACCGTTCCTTTTCCCTGCTTTCCAGGGCTCCAGCCTCCTGGGTTCCTCTGTCTACCTTCTGGGTGACATGCTCACATGTAGTAGATTATCCAAAACCAATTTACCAATTAGGTTGGTGTCAACTGCACGATCATAGTAATAGGAGAAAGCATAGAAGGAACTTCCACGAATCTCATCTGGTTGGTGCAGTTTCCCTTTGACAACCTTGAGCACTTCCAAGTAGCAAGGCTTGAATCCTGTTTCTCCTGTCAGGACAAAGACAGGTGAGGTGAGCCAAAGAGGCACATCCAGGAGGTGGAAGAATCAGTGGCAATAAGATGAAAAAGGGAAGAAGCAGAGGCTTCTTCATCCGAAGAGGTGAGAAGAGCTTAGATATCCCTTCCATAATTCAGCATGGCATCTGCATGCAGGCAAGGACTCTAGATCACCAGCAACAAGTGGAACTGATTATAGGAGATCATAGCAATATCTGAAAGGTGTGCTGAGCAAACTCATGTAGGTGCATAAAAAGCTTCCTCCGCATCAAGCAAAACTCTCATTGTTATGTTCTGTGGTCAACAGAATCTCATGTACATTTGCTACCACCTACTAGATAAAACCTTACTTTCTCTCCCCATCACATAATCACTTTATCAATCCACTCCATACACACCAAATCCACAACTCAGCTCTCATGTCCCCCCACTGTAAAGCAAAGCAACATGAGTCACCAAAGTGGTCTGTTCTAGTCGCTGATGGCAGCAGCTTCCCTCTCTGTATGCAGCATTTGGGATAGTATCTTGAGAAATAGTTCCACAAGTGAGATACACTTTGTCCTATCAGTTATTGCACCCTAACACAGCCAGAAGTTTTGCACTTAGCTCAAAGCCTCAGAAATACCTCTCTTATTTGCACAAGTAACTCTTAACGTTTCCTATAAAGGTAGCGTTTGTAATAAGAAATCACAGACAGAATATGGAGAGTACAGGCCAGCTACTCTTACAGTCTCAGATTTTTCTTTGGCTCTGTAAAAAGTCCACATCTACAACTGAGCAGGTATCCTTCATAACCCAGGGTAACTGATGGAGTATTTGCCAAGAAAAATCTCAGATTCTGGAGACAAGACTTATCTTATAAGAAGCAACAAGTCTCCTTAGTTTACCTTCTTTGTTGCCACCATACCGGTATTTCACTCCCCCGAAGTGCCACTCTGCCTCCAGCTGCTTTGGCAAACAAGAACTGCGGAACATTTGTCCATCCACAGCTGGAATGAAACCAGAGGGGAGAGTCAGAAAGGATAAAATTTAAACACAGTCATCAATCAATATGCAGAACTAGAAAAGAAAAGGCTGAAAGATCTTCATTAAGGTCTTCTTCAAACAAAAGTAAGGAAATCTGAACTGATGGATGCTGCACATGATTATGAATTATGGACCAGTCTCAGTCTGGAAAAGTTGTGCCCATTTTGTCCTGCAAGCTTCAGAATATCTGAATTGTCTTGTCATTAATCAGAGATAACTGATACAAGGATATTTGGATAATGGCTGTTCACCACAAAAGACAAAAAACAAGAAAGGTAATAAATTAAACACATACATACACAGACCCTAACAAACAGCAGATAACCAAGACAAACAAAACAACGGAGCAATGAAGACACAAATTCCTAAGACACTGATCAATGGCCACTACAGGAACCACTGAATGTGCCCTTGAAGGGTTCAACCAGAAACACTGTAACTGATGAGAAGAAAACATGATTATTGTGGCCAGTACAGGTCTGACAGAAAGAGTAAACTTCTTACAGAATGATTGAGGGGGATTGTGGGCCTGTGCAAAATTTACTATGGGATGTTTATGGAAAGGCTCAAAGGCAGGGAAAAGGGGAATCAAGGGATCAGGGAAGCACAAGTGTGGGAAAATGGAGGGGATGATAAAAGAAAGCAACCGTAAGTAAGGAGGCAGCTCAACAGTATGCTTTTATGGCTGAGCCTTGTAATCAATCACTGCAGTCTGTTCTATCTTCTTAAACCCTGTTCCCAAATATTTTTGATTTGAATACATTCCAGTAACTAACATAAGTCTATCTAGCTGGCAAGTAAGAATCCAGAAGGTTGAAAGACTCCAGGTCCTGGCCAGAGACTGGATAAAAGGCCCAAAGTCTGGGCACAAAGGCTGGAAGGACTTAAGGTCTGGGCCAGAGACTGGAAAGACTCAGGAATGTGAGTATGCATTCAGGTTAGTGGGTGAGAGTGTGTGTGATACGCTCGTGGACTTCAAGCTAGACTAGTCAGTGAATACAACAGGAGGTCTGGGGGAACACGGTGGGCCAGGTAGATATCAGAGAGACATGTAGAGTGGGTTTGGCTTAAGTAGCAATCCTTAGGAAAAGGATCTATTCATGCTGTTTGTGTTTCTGTGGATGCTTGTAAAGCTGTGAGTTTGTGGCTGGCCGTGTCTATATAGTGTTTATATGTTCCCAGACACGCATCTCTGGAATTTGCACTCAATCTCACTGCTGGCTGAACATACCTTCCACATTCAAAGCTCCAAGCGTTGCTAGTCTGGCAGCTTTTAGTCCAAACCCCAAATAGCTGCAAAGAACAAAGACAGACATTACAGTTTTAATTCTTGCACATCTGGTATGCTTCACTCATAGCCTCTTCCTAAATCCTGGAACACCCAAACCAAATTTCCTTCCTCTCCTTCCCACAAGCCTCTCTCTAAAACAGAGTTCCCTTTGCCAGAACAACTCCAAGTCCCAAGACTGACACAAACCCAGGAATCGCAAAGAGCTGTAAAAGGGGTAAATCTAAAAGTGCAGAAAGTGGTTAGAGCTGATGTGTCATTTCTATAAAGCAGTCACGAAAAGCAAAAATGCATAATCTTAAAAACGAGGGAGAAAAAAGGGTATGTGAGGAGTGTGTGGGGAACAGAACGGCCATTCTCAGGTCACACACATGAGACTGGTCTTAGGACGCAACCAACAGGAGAACTGCAGAGGCTCCCACTAAATGGGAGCTGTGCCTTTGTGTGAAATTCACCTCTGTGTGACTCCACAGATTCCTGCTATACTCATTACAAGCTAGGATGTGAACAACATTTATGAGAATGTCATTGCATGTTGCTGGCTTCAGCAACACAGCTAGATTAAAAACCCGTTGGCCTTTCATTCCCACCTCTATGTTTGGCTACTTGTCCCTTTAGTCATGTCAATACAAATGTTTACAGAATAATCAGAATTAAACTAACCTTCAACTTCCTAATTTTTTAGGAGATAACTTTCAATCCCCATTATTTTAAGTGATCTAATGGACTGTATGGGTGAATACAGCAATCAGTTACATCAGTAAAGGTAAGCAGTAGGAGAAGAGGAGTATTAAACCAGCTGTGCTGTCAGGTAAGCATATTCTGTAACTGGCTGAGATGATAATCTTCATCACACTAATACTGAGTTGAGATCAACTTTCTACTATAAATGGTTGAGTTCTTATTGGACCATAAGTCATGCAGATAAACTCTCCGGATTTCACTGCAGACATCTCAGAAACTTGTTAGCTTAACACAGTAAGCTAACAATTATATTATTCCAGGCCAACTATCCCCTCAAATTTGTTCAAGAATCTGTTGTGCTCCATGGTCTATATCAGCTGCCTGTGGCTGTCTCTCTTTGGTTTACATCGGTCTACATTTTACTTTTTGTCCAGTTGCTGATGAGATGTGCCATTTTGAAATAAAAACTAGAAGGAAAAAGTCTCAGGAAGGTCCTCCTTCCAAATCTCTGACTGGGCTTAGTTATGACTACTGGCACAATCTGTGAGTGTTTGCAAACAAAGGAGCACAATCTGGACCTTTCTGCTTGGTCCAGAATATTTGGTTTGAATCCAGTAATAAGAATCCTTCTCCTTAAATATATTGACTCGTAATACTTCCTCTTCATTTGACAGTCTGATTAATATTACCTTGCAGTGATATTAACCATGATTCTGGAACATTTCCAGTCAAATAATGTCATGTTCCATGTCAACTACTGTTTCAAGCAGATAAGAAAACTAGTAAAAAAGTCACAGACGCAACAGCTGATAACGGGATGACATGGCCATTTGTGGTTAGCTCAGGGGCTGCAGAAAGACTGATTTTCCCAGCGGAGACAGTAGCCCTTTTGCTCCTCACCTGTGTGTATAGAGCTTGTAGGTGCTATTAAACATTTCAAACGAGGTAAGAAAATCTCCAGGGGTTTCCTTCAAAGTTTCCTAAAAGTTAAGTAAAAGAAGAAATCTTTTGGTTTATATTATGCAATAAAAAATAACCGACTTTGATGTAATATCACAGATATACCCATAGAGTTTACTGCACACTCATCTGATCAGCTCTGAAAACAAATAACAATTTTCCAATGGTGCCCACTGCTGCATAATCTGCAGCTTTTAACACTGAGTTTATTTATATGCATCTCTGTGTTACTTCAGTGTATAATAGGGAAGCGCAACAGATCAGAAAGGAAATACTTTCTAATTCGGGATACCTGAATTTTTCAGAGTACTTACGTGCTACTCTATCTATACAGAGTCCCCATCGAAACCAGCTACACTAGAAGCACTGTGAACTTCTGCAAGTCAGACTAGACATTTCAATTCAGTAACTCAGAAGAATTAAAAATGCAAAGTAAATGTTAAACGTCATGCTGATACTCAAGGAAACACTCTGACCACTCACTCCCAGTCTCAGGGCTGCTTTACCTCCTTGTTTAAGTGCCTTCCTCTAAATTAACCTCTTGTCTCACTGCCTCCAGTTTTCCTCCTTTCACAGTCCTCTGCGCACACCTCCGCTCCACTGGTACTCAGTCCCTCTATGCCAGACTCTCAGATTCTTGTAAATCTGAACCAGTTCAGGGCTCATTTACTCTTCCTTTGTTTCCAGTCCCCAAGATCTCAATCCCAGTTTCTGTCTTTCCTCTGCTAGTGGCCTCATTCTCCCATCTCTTCTCGGCCCTGTGCATTCATACCAGACACACTGTTACTCTGGGCCAAACAGCAGAATCTGAGAGAGGACTGAAGCTGCAGAATCCCTTGAGCTACCATCAAGTAAGAAGATACAGTAAAAATAACCCAGATGTGGAATTGTGGAGCCCTAGACAGAAGCCTGCTCGAAGCTGAAAAAGATTTGGCAGTGTTCAGCTTGAGTTTCTCCTGCACAAATACAAATTGAAATTTGTTTTGGGCCTTACGTGGACTTTCATTGGAATAGCAGTCACATCCTTGACCTAACACACTCAAACCCTGCCATATTTCGAGTTCTGTTCCTAAACCTTACATCACAAAAACTTTTAAAATCGAGAGATCCTAAAAAAACTTTTTCGGAGAAAACAACTGGCTTTTTTTCATCGCCTCCTTTCACAAAAATGTAGAAATCCTCACACCCCTCTCAAATGAGGCAGGCACTAGACAGACAATGTCATAATTATTATGATTAGTTTTCAGTTGCTTATCGCTTTGGCAATGATACCATGCGAAGCATAACACTGGCTTAAAAAACAGCTCTGTGCAGTTACCATTATAGATCATCTATTTGCTTGTAATCTATACTTCATTAATGAATCTCTTACTATTACACTATCTGGTTCAAAACTAACACAAGAGTAAAGATGTGACTGCCTCAGATTGCAGGAAGGGAAAAAAAACCCTCTGCAAATCAAAGGGGGAAATCCCTGCTAATTCCGTCAGATGGGAAAATCTCTTCTGAAACATACTGAGCAACATATGTGCTTTTTTGGATGAACTTGACAATACAGGCGAGAAGCAGACATGGCGTACAAGTAGGCAACGTGAACCTTAACTTCCACAGTGCCCTACAAATTCACACCAGGGGTCCTGGTCAGTGGCAAACCCTCAAAGCATTTTCCTGTAAGGCTCTAAGGAGAGGTTTGAATCCTGAGCTGCAGTTCAGCCTACTTCACAGCTCTATTTATTCCCTAAAGACCTGACATGCAACACCCTTTCCTGTTGGGCCAGTGCCCACTTCAGCAGGTGTTATCAACGCAAAACAGAGGGCAAGCCCAGAGTACTTGAGGCTTTGTTGTACAAGATAAGGTTGCACGTCATGTTTCAACATGACCCACCACTGCAGAATTAAAATATCCTGATACAAAAACCATGTGTTTTGTGGTCTCTAAACACCCTTTGAGAATCTCAATTTCTGTAAACAAAAAAACAAAGGACTCCTTCAGAAAGGGGGACAAAACCAACTTCACAATATCAAGGTACACAACGCTATAGCGCCCTTCCAATACCTGTGTAATTTTCCCATGCAAACTTTGGACTTGGGTCCCAGTTCAAACTGTTTCTCAAGAGCTACAAAATTCCTGACCAACCCAACAAAGACAGACTGAGGGCAGAGACGAGAAATCTCAAAGAAAATTAGAAGAAATTGGTAAGAAAACCAAGAGGGATTTGCTGTGCTATTATAAAAGACATTTGCCGCAAGAGACACCTCCTTTCAAAATCTGGTGAGGATCTGCTATCAGGCTGGAATGGGGAAAAAAAAAAAAGATAATCCAGAGTATACCCTAAATTTCTTGTAATATGCAAGAATGCTCCCTGGAAATGTTCTACATTTATTGAATACAAAATACTGGTCTGCATTAATGGGGCTTTCCCAGCCTGGGTCTAGAAAACAGAAGCTGTTTCTCTTTGTTTTTACCCATTTGCTTTCTTTCTTTTTTCTTCCTTGTTATCCAAGCTCCTTTGTTTGCAAGTGCCTGATGTCAAAGGGAACAAAAATACAGATGTTCTGTACACCACAGATGTTCTACTTGAGTCAGTGCTGACAAAATTATACCAGAGAGCACAGCAGTGCTCAGGTCTCTCCACTGGCCCCGCAGTCCCAATCCATGCACTTTTAACCACTCCTCACCTCAAACCGTGGCAGGAATGTGATCTGGGTTGAGGCTCCTCCCAAGTCCAGAGTCCCAACAGTATGCTGGTTCTGGCCAGACAGCTGCCCTGCAAACAACGTCATGCTCAGAACAGCCCCAAGTGCAAAACACTGTATGCGTGTTCAGGCAGCCACCAAGTTATCACATTATGACAGCCAATGTCAGACAGGGCTGACCTGGCCTTCAAAGACAAAAAACATCACAGAGAAAAGGCAGGCAAACCGAAGGTATTATGAAAAGATTCATAGGACTTTCTTCCTTGACTCAAATTTCACCTCCAAAGAAAGAAGAGCAGCTAAATCTCCAGGTATCCTGCAAAAGCTGAAAGTAAGAGACAAACTATCCCCTGCAGAAGACTGTCAGGGAGAGTACATAAATTCTGTAACCACCATACAGCTGCTCAAGAGCAGTAGGAGAGGCAGGACAGTAAGAGAAGAACCAGCTATTGTAATTTCTCTTCACCCACAGCAGCTGTTTTGCTTACTCGTGTATCAACTAGAGCACTGATTTTCTCTTCACTAGATTGCATCCCCAGAAATTCTGAGCACCAGCAGAGCTAAAGCACCAGCGCATTCTCTGTTACACCATTTTAGTTGCATACATCATACTGGGATGAAGAACACTGTAAAACCTTGTTTCCCACCTTCTAGCAGATTAGCAGTACCACTCCCCTACGTATGCTACCAAAATCAGTTTGCCAGTGCCTCCCAGTCCTGAGTAAATCCTGGTACCTTCTGGATTAAGATGCCTCCTTCTTACTGTAGGTGTGGCTCACCCTCTGGAACACAGTCTGCCCAAGACAATCCACTGCTTTAGCACCAGTGCCACAGTGGGGAGGAAAAGCACGACATGGCAAGCAAGACAGAGGAACTTGGGGTGATCACCACTACAGAAGAGACTCAAGTTCGTATTTAGAGAGAAGTTACACAGAATTAACTACCTGTCAAAAAGTTCACAGTGATCCAGGCTAAAACTCCTGCAAAGAATGAAAAAGGAAGAAAAAAGTCACCACCGAATACTCCCACAACCTCCTCCCCGCCCTTACCAGCCCTTCACATGTTATTTACTTACCTGGAAATCATTACTAACTTAATGTAACCGCCCCATAATTGTAAGTTTGAGTTAATCTCTGCAGTAAGTGACATGAGGCATTATTGATACCTTAAAAACTCATAAGCTGGGATAGGCAGAACGTTTGTAACACCCATGCAACTGCAGCACGCATAAATCATGTCTGTTATCCAAACAATATGCAAAGAAGTAAAGAGCTGACACAATGCACAAGTTTCCTTCGGCACTTTTCTCCCATCAGCATGTCAATTCCTACTCTGAATATTGTGTATACACTGCTCTGTGTTTTAATGTTGTGGTTTCTGTAACTGCACTACAGACATAGTGGTGACCAGTAAAACACAAACAACTCCTTTTTGACTCCAGTGGCTTGCTTGACACTGGCATGGTTCTCACTCAAACACAGGCAAACATGTAACAGTAGAAGAGGTGGCGCTTTTAAATAAACCTTGGCAGGCTACACTGTGCTCTATTATGCCTCATTAGTCCCGTTCCCTGCCAATACAACACTTTTCCCTACTATACAACTCACCTGTTAATCCTAGTGACATACTACGCATTGCACCATACTGCATCCAATACTTGCAGACTTCATGTTACTTCTTCCTTTTCTCTTGGCACACATGGATAGATTTTGCTCTTTAATCTTCCTCTATTTATTAGTTGTTTAAGCGTCAGGATAATTCTTTTTGCTTTGCTTGAACACCTTGCAAATTGGCAGTATATCTGCCATAATGAAGTGTTCAGAACCGAATGTAACATCATGAATGGCTCTTATCAGGCATCCATATGGAAGTACTATTACCCGCCTGCTCTCCAAGGTAGTATGTCTGGATTCGTAGGCAACATGTTACAGTGGTCTGTTCTGCACTGCAAAATCATCACTCACACCAAACCTACAACATATTTAACCTTTTCTTGTATTTTAGGTTACTTCCTTTGCTACTTTACTAGCTGCATTTTTCTAATTAGAATATTTTTTAAATTTATAATTTTATTATTTATTTTGATGTCTAATTTTTAATACTTGTCTATTATCCTTCATTCTCCTCTAATATTCACAATGCTGCTAACCTCAATCTGAAAACTGATGAGCTAATCATAACAGATTACTTTTAATGCTGATATTGCAGAATTTACTAGGCACTTTCCATAACCTTCTGAGCTTGTTATGTATCACCATGTAGCTTTTCAGAGGTGGACACCGTCTTTTTTTCCACCAGTTCCCAAGATCAGGCTTCAGCTAGTTTGCCTGCATTAACCTGCATATTTATTTCTGAGATGAGGTTCTCTTCTGGAACCTCAGAAGGTTTGGGATGAAGCTTCGTCTAGCTAACTCATAAAGCTCTTTGTGCATCTGCATTTGTAGCCTAACAAGATGACCAAGTAATCAACATCTCCTAGGAAAAGCAGGATTACATTGTTTCAAGCAGGGCTAGAACCCTTTTTTTTCCCCCTTCAGTTTAGTGACCATGTATCTTTCCCTCTCATGTCCATAAGATGTCTCTCTCTCTTTCTCCCACTCCTCTTTGCTTTCACTTTTTCCTCCTTCTAGAACGTACCTTCATAAGATCCATCCATAATGCTAACGCTGTCCTCTGGTACAAGAAATGGTGATTCCTGAAACACTTCTCTCACCTGAAGAAAGAAATAATTATTAGATTCCTTGGTCTTAAGAGTCTTGTTCTGCTCTGATGGTGACAGAGGAAGTTTTCTTTTTCACAGCAGTATAAAATAAGACAAGTGTGTGGAATAGACAAAATTCTTCTTTCAAGGGCCAGGAAAGAAACAAGTATTGTAGGTGTCTCTTCCCATGCCTTCTATTCACATCAAGACAGAGGATTTCATGATCATACAAGAAAGTCTGTAAAGTCTGTGAGTTTCATACTATCATGGGATTACAGTCACTTTTCACAGCTGAAATTCCCTTATGCTAAACAGAATTGAGAACTGAGTCATGAAAGACAAAATAGGAGAGCAATAACAGTGCACCCAAAAGATCTTAGTATTACCTCTAAAAGCAGAGCCTGAGCTTTCTCCTCCGACAGCAAGCGCAATCCAGCTGTGGCTTTTAACACTACCGGGGTCTTCTTCCAGAGATGAGGTGGCACAGCATCTATGGCCATGTCCAGCAATCTTTTGACGGTTTCAGCACCCTACAAGGAAAAACATGGGTTTTTTTCTTATGGTTTCCTCCTACCAGCCATCAGAAAATAGGCCAACTAATTCCTCCTCAACCCTAGCGAAACCAGTATTCAATAGCAGAATATATCTCATCCACACCCAAGACAAGGATAAAAACTGTGCTAGACATCTCGTAAGAACCTTAGAGAGAATGTCTGCACCGGAAGGATGAGTGTATTCAGAGATATATTTTAGGTGAGAGAAATGTCACTTTGTGGAAAGTATTATTTGAAAGGATGGAGGGAGGTGAGGGAACTTAGTATTTGACAAACCTAGACATCTTGCAGTATGATGAAACTAAATGGTACAATTACTGACTGAAGCTACAGGGTCAGGAGGAACGTCTGTAGATTTCACTAAATGCCGTATAAGAATCCTGAGTGTGTCCATAGCAAACAGTGTAACTAAAATGCCAGCAGTAGAACGGTTACCACATGAGGTACAGGCACCACTGCTGGGCTCTCAATTATTTACACTGCTCTAACAATTACAGTTTGGCATTAGTGATAAACATTCACCTGTGAAACGTCTAGAAATTTCTTTTGGAGTGAATTCTTGTTCTCTCTTACCCCACAAACAAGACAATTTAGTGAAATAATGGGAGATCCCATCAAAGTTTAAAAAAAATCTGAAAGCCATTCACTTTTCCATAAAGTTTCTCACTCAAATTCCTGTAGCATTGAATGCAACTGAGCAAACTGAGAAACCTGAAACTCGGGTCTAATCTATCATTTCTCTGTCACCTCCTTTAGCTTGTGAAAGAGTTTACTGCCAGCACAGGGGATCTGGAAAATGGCAGCTTGCTTCAGGACTGGTGCTGTGTATCACAACAGGATTATTTTAGCGCTCTCTGCACTGTTGCTCATTTCTGACTCCTGATCCAATAAAGTGCCATGGAACAAGCGTACTGTGCACAAATTCACAACCACCCCCGTCTGAAAATAGAAAGGATTGCACCTAATTTCAATTTCTTATTAAAATAATATATTTACACATTAATTAATAAATGTGATGGTGGAAGATGGAACTATCCAACTGTGTTTTGAAAAACTCTGTATATAAACACAACAACAAAAGTCCTGAGGCAGTAGAAGAGTAACTGCCGGTATCTAAATCATTATTCAGCTAAAACTGTAATCAAATATTTGAACTGAGCATGACTGAAGCAAGTCCTGTGTATCACTGAGCACTGGCTTCCAAGCCATGGTTCCAAAGATAAAAACAAATACTCAAAACAAACAAATTATTGGACGTTTGATGATAGAAGCAGAGGATACACTTAAAGAAATATTAAGGCCTGACTTAGCCTGCTAAGTGCATCCTTATTCTGCCCCTTCTCCATAACTTATTAATAAAAATTAACTTTTCTAGATCTGACTCTACGCACAAAAAAAAAAAAAGAAACATTTTTAGGAATCAGAGAAATGAACCCTCTTTGCTTGTCACTGTAATGACTGAAAAAGAAAACCCCTGCAGTCTTAACCCCTTACTTATAAGCTAAATAAATCAAAACAAAACATGCCCATCTTGAACTGTGACCAGCACTGCAAATTTCAACCAAAAGGAAAAACTGAGAAAATTATTAGTAAATGAGACAGGGGTATGCATTTACTCATAGTTGGGGTAGCTACAGGGCAGACAAATATCGACTGTGGATGCTGCCAGAGCCAAAAATCACTTTGTCTTTGAAATTCTCAAAGGCATGTAGTCTAGTTATACATGGCATTTAAGCAATTAATTAAGCCATTGTTCCATTGATGAAATATGTAAAACAACAGCTCCCGTTTCACTATGCAGAAATTAACTCACAAAAGTAGAGCAACAGGTTTAGAGAGCCAGCAGCATAACCTTTAAGTTTTTTCTTGACTCCCTGCAATTACAATTAGTCATGCTTGAACTGCTTGGTAGAGTCCAACTGATATTAGCAGAAGTAAGACGAACTCACAGGGAATGAAGGAGACCCTTACCTTTTCAGGCTGATCAGCATATGCAGAAAGACCTGGCTTCACAGACTCAAAGATTTCCCCTTCCAACTCTGGAAGGTTTTCTGTGCAAACAAAACATTACATGAAACAGTCAACAACTTGAATCTTTTACTTCAGTTTCAAAAAGGTTGTGTGTAACCCCTGTAAAGTGACTATCTTAGATGTCCCCTTGGAAACCATACCTTTCCCCTCCTAAAATAAGCACTGCTCCTTCACTTCAGGAACATATTTAACAAATGTTGCCCTTGTATCCTCCAAGTTCGCAAACAATTTATTAAGAACATGTTGTTATAATTAGAAGCGTGTTCGTTTTGCATTTGTGAACTACAACAAATTATAGCAATGTAGTATGACTGTTGCCTAATCTTAATAAAATTTCTTTCCCTTTCTGGCCTCAAGCTAATTGTGAAACACTAATTCATATTAAGACACACACAGTCAACTCCTGATTATTCTTAGGTGATTCATTCAACTCACAAACACAGAACAGAGCTGACTGGGCTCAAGCACTTGGCTGCAAAGCCAAATAAGTGTGACCATTGCTCCCAGAGCAGCTTGGGTCTAGAAACTACCCCTGAGTATTGTATATTACAAGTCAGGCTGAGTCCATCAGAGCTGGACATTGTACCAGTTCTTCCAAACTAAGGTTGAAATCATGTGAAGCCACACGGGTACTACGTGTGGCCCTGAAGGGCTTATGAGCCGAGTTCCATCAACCAGCCTTCAACCTCTGCAAATTTGCTGACTCACTGTACCCAAGCTAATTCACCCTCTTGAATCCTGTTGCGTGTGCAGCCAACTTGGGTACCTCTGCACCATGTCAGAAGCAGATACACTGGAGCGTGGTGCAGCTGCGCACAGGAGTTCTCCTGGAAATGGCTCAGACCTTCGGTGCTTACAACTCTTTAATGTGCTGATTTTAATTTGCTACAAAATGTGATGTATAAACATACGCAGAATTCTGCGTATCTCTTGATGTAATGAAAGGTAATATGCAACTTGACAAAACCAGCATAAGCCTTTTTCCAACTCAATGAGACATTCCTTTAAACAGCTGCATAGATGAAAATCTTTGGAAATTCAGAACTCTCCAGCATACCCAGAATTAAACCTCTGAGTTTCAAAAGATCTACAAAAAAGGTATTTTCAGAGCAAAATACCACAACAAATGGACAATAAATCATCTGCCAGAGGACAATTTGAAGGACGAACTGTAGAAATGTTCAGTTGGTCCTAAATGCTGTGTTGGGAAAAAAAAAAAACCTCTTTAGGGAAGTTGGAACCTAAATTAACATACTACAAGTTCACAGACTGACATGGGGTCTTACCTGGGCTCTTCTGCACAAAAGTGTAAATGTGAATACGGGTTCCAGTGCTTCCTGCATCAAACATTATGCCGTAAAAAGTGTTTGCTTTGGCATCTATAGGGCACACATTAGGTGGAAAGAAATCCTGAAACCACATCTCCTTGTTTGAATGGGAGAGAACAAAGGACAAAGAAGAAAATGCCAATGCTAGAAGGAAGGGAAGTATGGAAGATGCCATCTTGCCAGGACCCCTTGGGGCAGTCAAGCACAGATCAGCAATCACAGAGCTGCAGTAGGTCCTGTAGAGAAAAAAGGTAGGAAAGGAAATTACCAAGAGTCCTCTCCTTAAAAAGTCTGTAGGAAAAAAAATATAAAAATAAATCAGTCTGTACACGTATATTCTGCCCTTTAGATGCTTTTCAACACCCAATCCAAAAGACGTGATTTACTGCAGTTTGTGCTACAACTGCATCTAAGTGATCTGTTCTTTAAGAGTAAAGGTTTCTCTATTTCTCAAACGCAGAAGAGTTAAAGCAGTTTGCTTCTCAGTATTTCTAGTTTTGACTTTATTTAAACAACTTTTTTCTCTGATTTGGTTTGAAGGTTCTCAACATTTAGAGTCCCCCAAATCTCCAAAAACCCCAAATGTTATCTGAAAAGAAGCGTCACCAAAGGGGAGCTCAGGCCAGAATCGCTTTGCCCTAACATTTACACACTTGAGATGCTGTGGCAGAACACAAGTGTTATTCAGAGTCACAAACAAAGAGAATTTCATCTCGGGCTAAGAACAGCTGCTGGGAGAGATCGGCGCACAGAGAGAATGAAGGCATATCCTTCCAGGAGCATCCTCGTCCCCAAGAAAAGCCTGTGCTGCGCAAGAGGGCTTGAACCGTAAGCAGCACCTGGGCTCTGCCTCTCAGTATTTTTCATACTTTTCCTTTCTGTCTTCATTATGGTTTTTCATCATTTTCTCCTAACACACTTTTCATTTTCAGAATTACAAAAAACCCCAACAAAACCCCACCACGCTCTCACATCTAGACCAGTTGCCCTGAATGCTCAGGCTGCTTGCACAGCTCTTAACAACAGCTTCTATAAGACAAGGCCCCAGAGTTGTGTGACACAGTACTGTATATCAAGATACAGCTACATTTCCTTTCTGTTAATACTATCTCTTTGCATATATTTTTCCTAAGAAATGCTAATAAAGGAAAGATATGGGCACAGAAACAACAGGGTTCCTTAGGTGTTTAGGTAAAAAGGAGGATAATGTATAGCTATCTTTGTCATTTGCATTTTAGCAGCAGAAAAGAGCATGTGGCCAGATGCCTCACCATATGCAGCATCGCCTGCACTGACATACACACAGAAGGTGCAAACAGCTCCTTATCATTCTCCAGACACTCGGTAACACATCCATCTGCCCACAGCACTGAATACTCCACTTCATACGCCTGTTCATCTGCTCTGCCTGAGACTCTCGCCCATCTCTACCTCGTACTTTTGATAGTCTTTCAGTGGTCTGCTCAGCCCCACCACGTTCATTCTCTTGAAATCTCTGTTTGCTGTCTCTATCTTACACTTATTCATTCCTAATCCTAACCTCTCTCCTTTCCTTTCTGTATGAACATGACACAGTCTCTATTTTTGCACACCCTTCTCCCACGCCCAAAGAACTCACTTATCCTCCACTACCTTTTATCCCAGATTTAGCCCTTGTACGACTTTTATTATTTACATCCTTCACCTTTGTCCCCAGCTACAGCAAAGTGAGATTAACTTTTACCCATTCTCAGCAAACAACATCACATTGGGTCATTCCTCTAGTGCTTCCCTAGCTCACTCAAGTGTTCAGCTACCTCTAGGGCAAACAGAATGCACAGCCCACTGCAGAAGGGTAACCTTGCCTGTCTTCTGTGGCCTTTATTTGTATCCTCCCGTTCCTAGCAAACCCAGAGTGCTGTGGGCAGAAGCACAAGCTCTCAACCCACTCTGCCTTAGAAGCACATTCTGAGAAGAGGAAGAAGTGACTTTACAATTTCACCAACGGGCAATAGCCCTGGCCACCCTTTGTGACAGATCAACTCCAACCGTAATAGTTTCTAAAGCATTCACATTTTATGTGTAAATGAGTAAAAACTTAGTTCTAATCTGTAACAACGTAAAAGTCCTATCCTGAGCAGAATTCATGAAAAGTGCTGAGCTGTTTGGCAGCTTCATAACTCTGGATTTGTACTAAGACGCGGCTGGCATTGCTCATGTTCACGTCATTACGGCAAGGAGGTCTACCAAAAATCCAAGAAACTGTGCTGTTTTAACAGAACATAAGCCGTGTTAGTGACTGCTACCTTCCAGCTGGTCAGAAGAGATGGTGTTATTCTCATGCAATGTGAGGATTTTGCTTATTGAACAACCACAAATAAAACCCAAGTACCTGCCTTTAAGAACAAACTCCAAAGTCCTATTACAAACAGCACATGTGACACTTACGCAAACCTCATAATCTCAATGATCCAAAAATATCTTAGCAACTGCCATCATTAACACATACATTTCTTGCTAGATCTACTAGTGGATGAGCTTTAGCCTCCCATGAAACACTCCATCACTAAACTTCTCTTTTCTATCCCTTCTCAGATATCCACCACCGTTTCACTTTCCATTCTCTGCTTCTGCCCTGACTTTTTTGCCTTTCCAACTTCACCCTCATATGGCAAAAAAAACCCAAACAAACAAACAAACAAAAAAAACCCTAGGGATTTTATTTTTATTCTCCCTCATGAAGGATGAGAAAAGCACATTGAGCCTCCTCGATGAGTGATGCAGACCATTTAAGTAAGTGTACTAGCAAAAAAGCATCTACAAGAAGCATAAAAACAGATGAGGAGAGTAGGACATCAGAGCAGAGAGAGGGAAACGGGCAGAGCATAACAGAAATGGCAATGGAAAAGGAATTTGGAAAGAGAGGGTCAAAAGAATGAATGGAGGGGAAAAGCAGTGTAGAGGTAGACAAAAGGGAGAGATTAGTTACTGAGAAGGAAAAACACTGTTTCCAAAAGAGCTCCTCTCAAACAACGTAAAATCCTAGCTCCTATCAGAATACAACAGGATGGATAAAACAAACAACAAACAAAAATACGAGCACAAGTTCATTAATATAAGCAAGCAGTTCAGCAGGTAAACCACACAGATCGGCATCAGCAGGCTCCAGTCACTGCCTTTGTTAATGAACAGCAATAATCGAGATCAATCATGAATACGTTAGGCACACACCTGAAGCAGGATGGAAGCAACAGCTATTCCTCTCCAGAGGTTCCTAATGAAAACCACTTCGGAGCGCTGCGACAAGGGACGCTGCACCTGCGCTTCTCTTCCTCACCTTCGCTTTCAGCTAGTAGGAGTGGATTATGTATCAGGCAAATTATAAGGTCGTGGAGGCACATAACATATCAGTCAAGCTGCTTTATGCAAATTTGAGTTTATCATTGCTCGATACGAGCAGCAAAACATGCTCAGATAATCACACAGGACAAATTTCAAGAAGTTGAAAGTTAACCAAGTTCAACAAGTTAGTAAAACATTTACACACAACATTACAGCTGACCTCAACAGCATCAGCCTGAGTCTAGCGACACAAGGTAGAACACCATTTCCCAATACAGAGAAGCTCAGGTAAACATCATCTGTGTAAGGCAGACCTTAGATACTAAACCAAGAAGTTGAAGCACATCCAATATAGAGATTCGGGAGCTACACAGACTGTACGATCCAAAAATACTGGGATGCTGCACAGAGACTGACAAGACTGAAAGCATGAACATGAAGAAAAGGAAAGAAAAAACAACCCATAACAAAACCAAAAAACCCTAACCAAACTGTCCTTAAACAACAAAAGTAAACACAATGCCAGAATAATAATAAGAAACCTTAAGACAGCAAAACACAAGCTTACTTAAGAGTTCACCATACACAGAAACACCGGTAATTTTCAAGACAAGAAAATCTCACCCACATTCTTGAATATTTCTGGCAAAAGAACATGCAAAACCCAAACCACAGCAACAGGAGCATCTCTCTGGAAAAATGAATCTGTCTAATCTGAGGGGAAAGAAATGCAGTGTACCTGAGATACACAAGAATTTCCCTTCTGTTTCCTAAAATTTTATAGGAAAATATTTGGGCATAAAGAAAAATAATAGAAAATAATTAGAAATATTTAGGATAGATATAAATAGTTAGGTAAATATTTTAGGAAACAAAATAGATGAATTATTTAATTAAATTCATAGTTATTTATTGCTCAAGCACACCAAAAATCATTCTGAACGGAAAGTCTATTTTCTGCACTAAAATGGTAAAATCTGTTTTCCAGATGAGCAGCTCTTATGGTAACAAGATCTATTTCCCAGATGAGCCGCTCTTACACTTAACAGTCATGACCTTTTTTTTCCAGAAACAAAAAATCGTTACATTTTTTCTGGACTTACTTTTGTCTAGTAAGAAAAAATGCTTTGTTGGATTGTTTTGACAAAAAATTAGTTTTAAGAGTACACACCTTAAAAATCACAACAGAAAGAATAACTGAATTTACTGGCAGAATTTTCCAGCATTTCCATAATGATAATGGCACCACTTTCCTTGCACACATACTTTTGGCGTAAAATTCTGGATCTAGAGCTTTAAACACCAGAAAAAAAAAAAAAAGTAGAACCAACTCGCAAACACATGCTATCAGCAGTTTTAATCTTCTTTTTCCCGTAAGGAGGCTCCAAATACACATTATTTATTTATTCTCATTTCTGGCCAAGTGGGTTTTCAATTTTCCTATTTAATTAGACCAAGGCAGCTTTCCAGGACGCTGCTGTGTTACTCTGAGCCTCCTGCAGCGTGTGGGCCAGTGTCCCTGTACGGCTTTGTAACTGTGCACCTACAGGGGCTGTCAGTAACACCTCTGTTGGACCCACCGGTGTGTCCTTAGAAAACAGATTTTTGGGTGCAGAGGGCTTTTGCTTCAACCTAAGCCTGGGGAGAACTCCGGTGCAAACTTCGGCATGACGCTGCCAATTGCGCACCCTGCACGCATTCACGAGAGCTTCACCACGGGTAATGGGGAGACGGGCACCCCAACACCCCTCTTCCCAATCTCATTACCGTCAGGGCTGTGGGTTTTTTAACTTTTGCACACCTCGACGCCAAAGCATTCCTCCTTCCTCCACGTCAAACAGCCGCAATTCAATCCTTACACTGAACACGCCTAAAAAAAATCGCCCTACCTTCATTTTCTCGCCCCAAGCAAAAGTCTCCGCGGCTGCTCCCTGCACCCCGCCG